TGTTGATTGACTCACTGAATAAATTACTTAATTTCTTCCACTGGTGGTTCCTGTCAAAGGGAGAAGGAAAAAAAACATCTCAAGGGTAAAAGAACACCAAGAAAGAAGGGAAACAAGAGTAACAGAGGTAGGGAAAGGCAAGCAAGGTTGGGGACCTAATATACTTTTAGGATCAACCTTTTGATGTTGAGGTCTAGCTCATAGTTAATAAGCCTCTCCTAATCCTTTGCCTTTCACATGACTTTTATCCCCCTTTGAATTTCCCCATCTGATTTTTTTCTCTATTGCAATTTCCTTTGCAAAAATAAGACAAATAGATCTGGGGGTCAGAGAGATAGTACAGAGGGTAAAGCGCTTGCCTTGCATACGGCCAAGGTTCAGTTCTTATATCTCATATGGTTCCTTGAGTACAGAACCAGGAAAAAGCCCTGAGTACAGATGGGTGTGATTCCCCCACCCCCAAAAAGAAATTTAAAAAAAAACAGGACCAGAGAGATATTATAGGGATTCCGGCACTTTGCATGCAGCCAAATTCAGTTATCCCTGTTCCCCTGATCACCATGAAAAATAAAACACGAGTACAGAGCCAGAAATAAACCTTGAGCACTGCCAGGTTTGGCCTCCAATCCAAAAGGAACAAAATGAAAACAAAAAGAAGAGGCAGAAAGGTAGTATGGTGGGTAGGGTGCTTGTCTTACATGTGGCTGACCCAGGTTTGATCCCTGGCATATGGTCCTCCAAGTTCTGCTAGGAATGATCCCTATGTTCAGAGTCAAGAATCAGATGTGAGCACAGGGGTGTGGAGGAGGAGGAGAAAGAAAGGAGAAGGACGAGGAAGGAGGAGGAAGGAGAGAAAAGAGGAGAAAGGATAAAGAAGAGGAAGAAGAATGAGGAAGGAGTGAAGGAGAAGAAAGATGAGAAGAAGAAGGAAGAGTAGGACAAGAAGGAGGAATCACATAAATCAACTCACCAATACAAATTTGGATTTTAAAAGGATGGAAATTGAGATTGAGTATAAAAGACTATTTAAAAGTATTACTTTGTTCCCTCCTTTGCTTTTGTTCTCTGTTGATTTTGATGTTGTGATGACCAGGGTCACACGATGCTTGGTTGTGGTGCCTGACTATTTTTCTTAGTTGGGGGTGCACATCAAGTTGTAACAGTTGTACACATACTTGTACCCATTCTGGTGGTGGTACTTGTTATCAGAGTGCTATGGGCTGGAGCGATAGCACAGTGGGTAGGGCATTTGCCTTGCATGCAGCCAACATGGCTAACCCAAGTTCGAGTCCTCCACCCCTTTCAGAGAGCCAGGCAAGCTACCAAGAGTATTCCGCCTCCACTGCAAAGCCTGGCAAGCCACCCATGACATATTCAATATGCCAAACACAGTAACAACAAAGTCTCACAATGGAGACGTTACTGGGCCCGCTCAAGAAAATCAATGAACAACGGGAGGACAGTGACAGTGATATATATAGTAGCAAGTAATATGAAAGAAATTATTTTGTGCTTGCTAAGTGGAACAGCCTGGAGAGAGGAGTGGGTGGGTAACTTGGGACATAGACATAGGCAAGGTCACTCTGGTGGTGGGACTGGGACCAGTGTTGGAATATTGAATACTTTAAGAGATTTTATTATGAACGACTTTGTAAATCATGGTATTTAAATAAAGTTTCAAATGGGGGTGAGGGAAGGAATGATAGTGCTAAGTGTCTAAACCACAGAGTCAACAATACTGAATCATGACGCCCAAATTTTAATAATCAAACTAAAAAGGTGCCTGTCAAGATGGATGGCTAGGAGAAGGAACCTAGAAACACTGGTGGAGAAAACTGACACTGGTGGCAGGACTGGTGCTGGACACTGTAGGTCTAAAACCCAACTATGAATAACATTTTAAATCACGATGCTTTAATAAAATCAAAAAGGTAAAAGGTAAAGGCCCTCCCGTTGATCGTCGATTTGCTCGAGCGGGCCCAGTAACGTCTCCATTGGAGACTTTGTTGTTACTGTGTCTGGCATATCGAATACTCTCGGTAGCTTGCCGGGCTCTCCGAGAGGGGCGGAGGAATCGAACTCGGGTCGGCCATGTTGGCCGCTTGTAAGGCGAACGCCCTACCCGCTGTGCTATCGCTCCATTTTAAAATGAAAATCTGTTTTTGTTGGTTTGTTTTTTGGGTTTTGGGACAACACCTAGCACATGGTCCCAAAGATCAGGGATACCCCTACGTCAGTGCTCAGGAAACCATGCAGTGCTAGGGATTGGAGCTGTGGTTCCTACATATGAAGCATGTGCTCCTACCCTTTGAGTTCTCTCTCTGGCTCAAATATCCATTTTTCAGTTGCAGTTAATGATCTTTGGTTGCCATACTTGCACCTGGGTTTTGTATGGCCAGAAACTGGTCGTAGTTCCTGAACACAGCAAGCAGAGCTGCAATGATCACATTTAGTGCATGGGGTGGCTCTGGGGATAGAACTTTGGTCTATGCCTTCAAGGTAGGAACTCTAAGATCTCTCCTGATGAATTTTTTTAAATTAGGAAATGAAGAAATCACAATCAAAGTTTTTCTTCAGGGGCTGGAGCAATAGCACAGCGGGTAGGGCGTTTGCCTTGCACCTGGCTGACCCAGGTTTAATTCCCAGCATCCCATATGGTCTCCTAAGCACCGCCAGGGGTAAATCCTGAGCGCAGAGCCAGGAGTAACCCCTGTGCATCGCCGGGTGTGACCCATAAAGCAAAAAAACAAAAACAAAACAAACAAAAAAAACCCAAAGTTTTTCTTCAAAGGAAAATTTGAACACTTATACCTAATAAAGATGACCACTTTTTGTTTGTGTTTTGGGCCATACCAAAATGGTGATGGGGGACCATGCAGTGCCAGAAAATGAACCCACATCCTCATACGTGCAAGATAAGTGCTCAACCACTAAGCCATATCCACAGTCCCTGAAATTGAACACTTTTTCCATACACTAGAGAATGTGGCTGCACTGCTAAGCCTTAGAAGAAAACTTTCCCTCCACATAAATTCTGCCTTATATCTGTTGTCATCAGATCCTGGAACTCTCTCCTCCTAATATCTCCCTGGACTCAATTACCTTTGGCCTCTCCTTTGAAGACACACATGGACACAAAATTCATCTTTCCTTTTCATAAATCATCGGGGCAGCTCTGATTTCTCCATTTTGTCTATTTGGAAAGAAGAAAGCAAAATATAAGATGCCAATACAATTGCTCCTTTATCAGAGTTTAGCGTCACAATTACCCACCCAATCTGGCCAATTTTATGCCTCTCATAACCCTCCTTTATGAACATGCTATGAGCTGGATGCAGGCTTTGATTATGACAGCAGTCTTCAGCCACATTCCTACTTAACTGCAGAGCAGAGTTTCTGCCTACCAACCCAGCAATGATCATGTGACTTTTTAAAATTACTTTATTTATGTAAGCCTTTTCCCAACCAGAGCCTTTTGGGAAAAAGCCATCAAAAATTAGGGAGAATTTGTGCTTGCTGCTTCTTCAGTGACTCTCTGACTCCAGAGCCTAGAGTCTCTTATTGGAATCAAGGTAAGGCTCTGAGCTGTGTCAGCATAGGTTTGTGAGGGTTGGAGTACTCAGAATACATGCTATTCCAATCTGAAATAGGAAATAGTAAAGAAATAGATAATAAAACATGTTGGCAGTTGCCAAGGGCAGCGGCTGGTTCCCAAAGGTTTGTCTGGCAAAGGTGTCAGGTGCTATATACATATCAGCATTGCTGAGGGGTGGGCTGGCTAGGAAGAGAGATGTTCTAGAATTTGGGAACTTACAAAATGGATTTAAGAATTATTGTTAAGGTAAGTGAGATAGTTCAGTGAGTAGGGTGTTGCAAGCAGCTGGCCCAGGTTCACTACCCTGCACTTCATATGGATCACTGAGCCCACCAGGAGTGAGACCTGAGTGCAGAGCCAGGAGTAAGCCTGAGCACTCTGGGTATGCCACGCCCCCCACCTCTCCACCCCGCGGGGCCTCCCCCCCAAAAAAAAATCATTGCTGCTTCTAGGCCTCAGCTCCACCAATAGCTCAGCAGGAGAAAAATCTATTTTCTCTGGACAAAAATCTATTTTCTCCAGCCAGCGGGTAAAGAAATTTGAGTTCAAAGTAATTGTTGACAACCTGGTGAGCTGTAGGAGCAGGTCAAGGATGTGGCTCTCGTGGGTGGGCTGTGCCCTGATGCAAAGCAAGTCTAACATAGAAAGCCAGAATTTTTTTGAGCTGCTTATGCAGTTCAGCTAAGGATCCCTCAACAGGATACCAGGAATGGGGTCCTGCCAGGTTAGGCTGTGGGTGTGAGATATATAATCTACCCTAAAACCTCCTGGAGAGATCCCAAGCCAAAGTCATCAGTGTGGGTGGGAAACCCATTAGTGAAGAAACAGCACTGCTGGAACAAGTCTAAAGATAGACTTCTGGGCCAGAGAGATAGTTCAACGGGGAGGGCTCTTGCCTGGCACATGACCGACCAGGGTTCGATCCTCTGGCATCCCGTATGGTCCTCCAAGCACCGCCAGGAGTAATTTCTGTGTGCAGAGCCAGGGGTAACCCCTGAGCATCGCCGGCTGTGGCCCCCAAACAAACAAAAAGCCAAAACGAAAAAGAAGAGGATGGGTTTCTGAGGTGGAAAAAGCAGCTGAGCCTGCAGGAACGCTGAGGCGTCGCACCTTTGAGAGGAACTGGGGGGGCGTCCAAAGGCGCTCTGTGTGAGGCTAGAAAATCGAACCCTACTAGCTGCTACCAATCTCCTTCCACCTGGCAGTAAGAAATGAGATGAGAGTCCAAACACTGCGGCTCTGGCTCGGGTTCTTGCTCCTTATCCCAGGGATAGGGTTTGAGCTGGGGTGATGGCTTCTGTCAGTCTAGCTCACTTCAGCTACAGCGCCGCCTTCTCCGAACTCGGCCGTGCTCGGGGCGGGGTCAAGAAACCCCGCCCCTATCCCCGCCCCTCGGCCTCGGGGCGGGGCTCCCGTCGGCTCCCGGCTGCCCTTTCCCTTGCAGCCTCTGAGCTGGCTGGAGTTCCCGGGCCGATCTCCGGACACGTGCGGTGAGTGAGGACCAGGTCCGGTAGGTCCTAGATGTCCACCAACTCCCCCAGTAAGAGGCCTCAGTGTGGAAGGCTTCTGCTGAGTCACGGGACGAAGTTGGGTGCGTTGCGTCGTGACCCCGGGTTTCGAGCGCATCTGGGAGAGACTGAGAAATGGGGCCCCCGCCGTTTGCTGTCGTCTGTCTCGTTTGTCCTCGCCGCGGCACCTTGCACCGGTCCCGGGAAGACTCGGAATCCAGGCACCGGCGCCGGGGGAAGGTTTGTGAGGAGCACGTGTCTGGATGGCGCTCGGTCAGCACCTTGAGTCACAGCCCCAGAAAGGGGCAAGCTGCTCATTTCTTTCATTTTTAAAGTTGAATAATGAACTTTCTCTAATTTCCTTTTCCTCTGATTTGTTTGGAGGTTCTTAAGGCGTGAAATTGCAGGATGCACTTAAAGGGTTCCTTGATGTTAAGAAGGCTAAATTATAGGGCTAGAGAGAAAACTGGGGACTGGGCGCTTGTCTTGCACGTGGCCTTCGTGGGTTCCATCTCCACCATCCCGTATGGTCCCCCTTGCACCGCCAGTAGTGATCTCTGAGACAGCCGGTTGTGGCCCAAATAGGTGGACAGAAATGCTTGATAATCACGAACATTTTTGCAAATTATGTAAAAATCAAGGTTGTTGGAAGATATAAATATAACCTAACTGGCTGTTTCCTTAAAACGCGCTACATCAAATTATCTTTCTGAAGTGTTGCTTCTATTGTTCCAAAGGGCAGATAATGGATGCCCTCGATAGTTTTTGCTTCTTGGAACCCACGCCTGGTAGCGCTGGGTAGTCACTCGTGTTGATACTGCGTGCCATGCGGTGCCGGCCTCCCCCGTCCACCGTAAGGCTTTGCAGCTCTTTCAGCGCTCTCACTGGTCCACCCCAGGCTGCTTTGCGTTTTCTATATTCGCCTCTTTGCACTTATGGGCTAAAACCTCCCAACCAATTTGTGTATAAAGTGCTATTAATGATCTAATTTCACAAGTGAGGAGACCTAGGTGTATAAGAAATGTACGCCACTAGGCTATTTAGAGATAGCCCCAGTCTTCCTGATATTGTAAGTAGGTTATTTACTTAACTCCCATGTTAAGTAAAATGGTTGTGTGAATACTGAGCCAAGGGAAAGCTATTTGTTTTAGCTTAATACTATTTCTTTATTATTAGGGTCATTTATTATTATGACCTATAATGATATTGTACAGTTTATCCTTAGGACCGTTATTGGGGTGGGGGTTTTGAACCTATAAATGCCATTGTTCCTATTGGTTAACCTGTAATGCTTTTATTGCAGAAGGGCCAGCTGTAGACTTCAGCCAGATGTGGTGCCAGGTGAGTACAGCACTATTAGTCTACCTTGGGCCCCAGCTGTAGGCAGCTGCCTAGGTTGCTGTGTACCTAGGCAAGTGTTACACTGCTGGGAGAACAGCAGCTTATAGCTGGTTGGTGTTCTGGCCTGGTTCATGCCTGCACTGTTGTTAACTATACCAGGATGCCAGTACAGTCATTAAATTTGCAAGAATGCCTTTATGGAGAAAAACCTTAAAAATCCAGACCTCTCTGAGTGGTTCTGGTCTAACAGGTTTGACTAGTATGCAATTAATATGAGTCACACCTTGGAAACCAGAACAAAAGTAATCAAGCCAGTAATCAAGTGAGATGAGAGAAAAAATACTTTATTTTTAGAATGCCTCTATGGGTTTGAATGGGACCTTTAACACACAGTGGGCAAATTGATGGGACTTAAGCTAATTTCACTGAAATTAAAGCTAATGATGGCTACTCACTTGCCTTGCCGTATAAGGCTACTCCGAATCTTCTTTTAGGGTGGCTACATCCAGCCATGCTTAGGGGTTACTCCAGAATCTGCACTGAGGAATCACTACTGGCGGTGTACAGTGCACCATATGGGATGCTGGCAATCAAGCCTGGGTCAGCCGGGTGCAAGGCAAATACCATATCCACTATACTCTGGCTCCTGCTCCTCAGGACGATTCTTTGTAGAGGGGTTTCACAGCTATTGCTATATATGAGGATACCATGTAGAAATGTTCATGGGAATTTGTTTTAAACTATGAGCATTCTTCTTTAGCTCTTAATATAAATCTTATTGGATGAGGAGCTGGAGAAATAAGAGCTAATAGTGTAGTGGTTGCCTTGAATGTGACCCACCTGGTTTGATTTACTGAGCCCCAGCCAGGAGTGATCCCTGAAGTGCAGAGTAAGGGATAAGCCTTAGGAACCACTAGGTGGCCCGAAAACAAACCAAAGAATCAGGTATTTCATATAGGCCTGGCTGAAATTATGTATATTTCTACTTTAGTCTGGCAATATATTTCCTTAGGTTCCCCATCCCCCTTTTCCCCCAGGAATTTCTATCCTTCTAATTTTGATCCTTGACAGCAGTAAATACTGAGTCCCCTTTGTGGTGATTTTGTTTTGAAATCTGAGAAGAGATGGGTGTTCTAAGAAAAAACCACTTGGGGTGGTACTGGAGGTTGTCCAATAGGGCTTAGTTCTGTGAAATTTGGCATTTTTGTTTCATTGGTATGAACTAAGAATTAGTTTTTGTTCTGTCAATTGGTTTTAAATGCTTGGTATGACTACCTCAGATGTTCATGGACCATAAGTAAAAGTGGTCTTTTATTTATTAGATCTTAAAACTTCAGTGATGGTAAAATAAGCAGTCTAAGGATATGAAATCTGGTAAAAGGTGAAAAATAGTCTGTTTCCATTGCTATAGAAAGGATAATTTCAGGTGCTGCAGGTATTGAATAAGTGATATCTTTTTTTCCTTCTAGGATGATTTGAAAGTAGGGCATCCTTGGCCCTCCTGAAGCAGTAATTAGTGGCAAGTGGACAGCTTATATGATGCTTTCAGGTAAAGGTGCCTGCTCATTCCAACGTGGACATCGACCTGTTTGCTAGTTAGTGTTGTGAAAAGGCAGTTGGGAAGAAAAATTACCTCTTTAGCCTCCAATAAATTCGGCCTTTGGGCAGGGAGAACTGAGTAGAATTCCGAGGTGATGGACTCTGAAGGCATGGTAAATTCTGAGGTTATCTCACTCTGTTCACTGCTACATCCTACAGTGCCTGGCACATGGTGGAGCTTTTGAGTGTTGGATAAAATGACTGAAGGCATGCAGGAGGAGGTTTCATTCCCTTTTTTTTAAAGGTTTGGAGGACTGGAGAGATAGACAGCAGATAGGGAGTTTGCCTTGCACGCGGCCGACCAGGGTTCAATCCCCAGCATCCCATATGGTCCCCCAAGTACTGCCAGGAGTAATTCCTGAGTGCACAACCAGGACTAAACCCTGAGCATTGCTTGGTGTGGTCAAAAAGGCAGAAAGGGTTGGAAAGTGTGGAGGTTCCAGGTCTTGCTTAGCAGTCAATATTCAATTCTCTGGGGCACCTTTGTGCGTGTTACCTAGCTTTGGTATCTGGGTATCTTCAACAAGATTTTGGGAATCACCCAGTGGTTGTCAGCTGTCTGGGCTAGTTTGATGCCTCAGATGGTGTTACAGTGCTGGGAGAGCAATGCTGCCTTGTTGGGGTGTGGCTGCAGCACCGTTCTGGTGCTGTGGCCCACTTCCTGTGGGCAGTGTTTTGCACCCCTGAGAGTGGAGTGGCTCCTCTTCTGGAGTTAGTCCTAGTCTGGGTGCATACAGTCTTTTAGAAAAGGACCCTGTCATAGGGACAGCCTATCATGCCTTTCCCTTTTGAACCCTAGATGGCCTTCACCTGAGAGAACCACACCTACACTGGAGCTTCAGCCACCTGACAGCTGTGTGATTGATTGTAATATATGTCGTCATTTTGTCATGTAAGTCCTGGAAGCTTCAGCTCAAATTGCTATAGTGAAATCAGTTTTTTTGGTCTCTGCCCATAGTCCCTGCCTGAGCTCTCATTCTTAAGGGTGAAGAATACCTCTAGTTCTTGTATTTTGTTCCTTGATGCTCAACAACTAAATTCCTTAGAATTTTCCCAGGTGAACACTGTCTTTTGTACTAATGAGAACCGGTCACCAGAAAGACTAAGCAATTTGGGAATTGTACCCGCGCTCCTTATTCTCCAGAGTGATTGGGCTGGATAATAAAAGTCTCAGTGGATGGGATTGGTGAGCAGAAGAGGGGCATACCTCCGGTGTGGAAGCTTGCTACCCCTTCCCAACATACTTTGTTACAGACATTGATAATGTCTGGATGTTTTCTGTATCTTTACCATAATTATTTCAAATAAACTGTTCAAATAGCAAGTAAACTTTCTGAGTTCTGTGACTTTCTAACAATTTGGGTGAACTTGAGGCTGTTGTGGGGACCTCCCATCTACTCCTAGATGACTGGTACCAATTCTCTGATTCCAAGTGGTGTCAGGATTGAGTAACATTGAGCTGGTGACAAGTTTTCTTGGTGGGAACACCTGCCCGAAGTCTCCAGAGTATTGGAGATGCAGCTGAGTGGCAAAGTTGCCTGCCTTGTAGACTTGATGCCTCAAGTTCATTATGTTCATTACTGTGTCATGTTTTACAATGGCATGAATGTTTTATGCTGACAGTGTTCCTGCACCACTTCTTCGACCATGGCATCTTTCTCCCTAGCTTCATTCTCTTGGCCATCACTTGGGCCTTATTTCCATTGCATTTTGTCTTTTTTGTTTGTTTAGTTTTGGGTCACACCCAGTGTTGCTCAGGAATCACTCCTGCAGTGCTTGGATTATATGTAGTGCAATATTTAACCCAGGTTTGCTATGTGCAAGGCAAATGTCTGCTCCAGCCCCTCCGTTTCTTGTAATACTCTGAAATGCAAGGTTTCTTTTTTATATATATTTATTTTTTCTTGTTTTGGTCAAACCTGCCAGTGTTCGGGGGACCACATGGAATACCGGGCAGCAATCCTGGGTCAGTCGCATGCCCTGTATTATCACTCCAGCCCCCTGGAATGCAAGGTTTCATCTTTTCTTATAGCTAAAATAGTATTGTGTCTCTATATGTGTGTGTGTGTGTACCACAAATTCTTTATCTCCTCACTTGTTGGCCACTTGTTTATCCATTATATTATAAATAGCATTGCAGTAAACATACGAATACTTTTTACTTTAGTGTAGATCCTTTATCTTTAGAAGGCTAAGATGATTTAAAAATCCAAGATGAATAGTTTGGGTTTGTTTTGGGGCCACACCCAACACTGCTCAGGACTTAACTCCTGTTGCTATGGAGACTATATGGGATACTGGGTGTGCAACGTGGATCAACCAACCACATGCAAGGCATGTACCCAGATGCACACAGGATCACAAATAGTTGCTCTAGAACCATGTGTGGTTCTGGGAATCAAACCCTGTTGTCTGGTTGCCAAGCAAGAGCCTAAACTGCTATATTATCTTTTAGCCCTCTTAAGTTTCCCACCTTGTGCTTATAATTTGTTCTATTTGCACACGTTGCTTTCATTCATCACTTAAGGAAATAGGCCCCCAAGAAGGCAGAATTCCAGCAAAACGTAACATTTAGTTTTAGGTTTTAGAGATAGCCCTGAGGAAAAGGAAACATAAATAACTGGATTGGGCATGAGATAGTACAGGGGTTAAGGCACTAGACTTGCACACAGCTGACATCTGGATCGATCCCCAGCACTACATAACCTAAGCACAATGGGATGTAGTCCAAAGTGCCACCCACCCCAAAATGTATATAGGTCTCTCTGAGCAAGATAGTGCAAGGGTTAAGGCACTTGGTTTGCATGCAGTTGGCCACAGTTAAATTCTTAGGTGGCCTTCCAAGAAGATCTGAGAGCAGGCTCTGAATACTGCCAGGTATACCCGCAACCCCAAAATATGAATAAAATCTGGTATCTCTTCTTCGAAATAGAGTTTGTCAGGGCCAGAGAGTGAGTAGGCCATTTGCCATTCATGAAGGTCTCTCCTGGGTTCAATCTCTGCACCCCAGATGGTGTCCTGAGCACAGCTGGGTGTGGCCCAAAGAGGGGAAAAGAAAAAATAGCCAAAATACAGATTGTATTTTGTATGCTAGACAATAGTACAGTGGGTTAGGAACTTGCCTTGCACATGGCCAACCTGAGTTCAGCCCCCATCAGGAGTGATCTCTGAGCACAGCCAGATTTGGCCCCAAAACGAAACTTGATAGAGCGACTCAGGTGCAGGGATGTCAGCCCCTTGCTGCTACTTGAAGATGGTTAATTTGTTTGGTGTTTATTGAGTACCCCACTAGGTTCCAGTAGGTCGCAGTATTTTGATGGTGCGGATGCCTGGTGAGATAGTACAGTGGGTAAATTATCTGCCTTGCACACAGCTACCTGAGTTTAATCCCTAGCACCCTATATAGTCCCTTGAGCCCTGCCCTGTGAGCACTACCAGGTATGACCCCAAAACTAAAATAATTTAATGGGATTTCATGCTTGAAAGGTTAGTCACCAACTACTCCCTCTTAATTTTGCTTCCCAGGAGTCTAATGTTTACAAGAAGTAAAACATTTTGAAATAGCTTATTCCTTACCATTCTCTGCCCCTTTGCTCAACAATGGAAACTGGTTTTGGACTGGCAGGATTATTGCTCTGTAAATATCCAAGCTCCAGCGGGCCCAGTAACGTCTCCATTGGAGACTTTGTTGTTACTGTGTCTGGCATATCGAATACGTCACAGGGAGCTTGGCAGGCTCTGCCCTGCGGGCGAGATACTTTCGGTAGCTTGCCGGGCTCTCCGAGAGGGGCGGAGGAATCGAACTCGGGTCGGCCAGGTTGGCTGCTTGCAAGGCAAACGCCCTACAAGCGAACCTTGGGGCGGAGGAATCGAACCATAGCACAGCGGTTGGGTGTTCGCCTTACAAAGCGGCCAAGATGGCCGACCCGAGTTCGATTCCTCCGCCCCTCTCGGAGAGCCCGGCAAGCTACCGAGAGTATTCGATATGCCAGACACAGTAACAACAAAGTCTCCAATGGAGACATTACTGGGCCCGCTCGAGCAAATCGACGATCAACGGGAGGGCCTTTACTTTACTAAATATCCAAGCTGGGCTGGGGAAATAGTTCAAGTGGTTTGTAGTGCGTGCTTAGCGTTCCCTAAGTGATCCTTGGTAACCACATGCTTATCTATCCTACCACTACTCACTATAGTCTTACTGTCCCCCACCCCCAACTGCCATCACCTTCCTTTGGTAGCAGTTAACACAAGCCCCTACCTCGTTGCACTGCCCAAATTTCAGGTTCCAGTCCTGCAACCTACTAAGATGAAAATTAAAGGAACAACAGTATAGTGGATAGGGTAAAAAAAGCAAACTAAGATGAGTTGGGAACCCCTAATATGAGTACTATACCTGGTATGTGTCAATTTATTTCTCTTCCTTCTTTCAGGTTCAAAGAAAGTGACAGTGAACTTTTGCAATGAAAACTTGACTCATCTCAAAATTCAATCAGGAAAAAGAAACCCAGAGGAATAAGTTCTTCTGGCCCCAAAGGGATGCAAAAAGGTGGCTCTGTGCCTAGGAATTCACACAAAGGAAAACAAGCTGGTAAGAGCAACTAATTAAGAACTTAAAAGAATGTCAAAGACTCCTGTGAATCTTACTGCTTAATTAGGGCTTTATGAACAGTTCCAGTTAATGGACCTGTCAGTGTTCTGAAAAACAATTTCCCTGAATTAACAAATCCACTGTAATACTTTGAATGTCTGGTTAACAACATCTTTCTCTTTACTGCTATTCTGGGAACACGTCTAATGAGCCAACTTGCTGTTTTATATTTTTTGTCAATTCTGAAGGCTTAGTTCAAAGAGGAATGCTCTACCCCCATCAATGAGTGGTGGGGGTTGGTGCTTCTCATTTGATGGCATTATAAGATACTCGAGGCTCATCTTCCCTATTTCCTGTCCTGATCCTAGAAACCAGGAGTCCTGATTTTTTGATTGGAGAATGGTACCAAGGAGCCATGGTCTGATCTCATGATATTGAGATATTTCTAGGCCCTTTCAGCTAATAGGACCATGAAGCAAATTTGTTTTATTTTTTTGCTTGTGGGCCACCCTGACAGTGTTCAGGAGTTACTCTTGGCTCTGCATTCAGAAAATGCTCCTAGCAGTACTGAGGGAACCATATGCGTTGCCAGGTTGACCACATGTAAGGCAGTCACCCTACTTGTGCTATCTACAATTCTGATTTTAATTATGAGCTAGATGATCATTACCAATTTTAAGGTGATTTTTTGGTTGGGGGGCATGCCTAGATGTGCTCAGGGCTTACGCCTAGTGGGATCAGGTGACCTTGTCTCTCCAGCCCGAACCATGAAATAAACATGTCATACCGACCAGGATCTTTATCGCCCTCTCTATGTTGTACCTACTTAGCACTTTGATTCTGTGATCTCTCCATCTTAGAATGCTGGTTGAACCTGTTGTGTTTCATACTAGATGCTGCAGTCCTCAGATGACTGATTATTTTTACCCTCTGAGCTCAGAGAAGAGGTGAATTCTTTACCAGCTGCTGACTGAAAGGAAGAACCAGGCCCCAGTACTAGTGTCCTACAAGCCGAAGGAGTGGAGTTCAACAGTGATTTCCAAATGCTGCTCCACCAAACTTTTTTACAGGTCCTAGAAAAAGTTATTGTGCTTACACATGGTACACCTCAATCATGTGTGGAACTGTTAGAATATTTTTAGAATAAATGTTTCTTATTTCTGCCTTAGCAGTCTACAAATACATTTCCCCAATTTTCACTGGTTTGCAGGTGTATTAAGTTTATAGGTATGTTGGGTACTTCACTAAGGGAAAAGACCTGTCCCAGAATTTTCAAAAGATTGATCATCTAAGTTATTCTTTAATGAGTTTACAGCTTCTTGCACAAAGGATTTGGGGCACACCTGGCCGCGCTCAGGTATCATATGTGGAGCTGGGATCAAACCAGGTTGACCATGCTCAAAGCAAGTGTCCTATACTATGTTTTCAGCTTTTATTAACTGAACTCTGCTAGGTGGATGTGAAAGTAACATAGTCCTACTGAACTTAACTACCCATTTTGTTCAGGATAGCACTCATCTCATTTTATCCTGAGATTACCTTCAGGCCTGACTGGTTTCATTCAGTGCTTGCCAAGCCTTTCACCATAGGTGTCTGCACAGACTTGCCCTTTCTGATCTATCTTCTTTCTGCATTTTGTCTATTTTAAGAACTCGACTTTTAAGTGAAATAGATTTCAGGAAATAAGAGAGAAAGAAACCCATGATGTACAAGAAAGGAATTATACCCCAAATGGGGATTCCAGACTGGAATGAGGATTGCTTGCTTTTCAAAATACGATGTGAAGATAATATATTTGCAGAGGATTTACTCAACTTTAAAGCATGATGCCTAAGATATGTTTTTTTATTTACTTTTAAAATTATTTTTACCTGGCAATCTTCAGGGGTTACTCCTGGTTCTGCACTCAGGAAATTACTCCTGATGATGATTGGGGGCCATGTGGGATACCAGGAATTGAACCCAGGTTGGCTGAATGCAAGGCAAGTGTCCTACCCACTGTACTATCACTAACCCTGATTTTATTTTTTAATTGGTAATCTAAATGCCTTAATGGTTAGGAATAACCATTTGTGGATAAATTGGAACTTTTGGGACTGCTTGCTTGCAGTCATTACACTAACAAACTGGGACCAGGGAGATCTCTCAAAAGGCTGGAGCTCATGCCATACATGTTTGAGGTCCATGCTGTATTCATAGTACCACATGATCCCTAAACACTGCTGGGAACAGTCCCAACACGACCTGGTTTGGTATCAACACCAAAAACTACTTTTGTTTTGGCCACAATCAGCTGTCCTTGGAGCTTATTCCTGGCTTTCTACTCAGGGATCACTCCTATCAGTCCCTATGCACTGTATTCTTTCTCTAGCCCCCCAAATCAAAAACTTCTACTGGTTTTATTTCCTTTGAGAGAGTTTCCCAAGCATAGCTTGGGAATTGAATATATATTTTAGGGACAGGGAATTGAATCCAGGACCTCATACATGTAAGACACATGCTCTAATGCTCAGTCCTGATAAATTTATTCTAAACATCTGTTTGGGCTATGGAGGCAAGCGGTACTAGGAATTCAACCAGGGTCTGCTACAAGGTCTCACTTCCTGTATTATTTCTCATGTTCCCAAACATTTCTTCACCCACTCACTATCCTTACAAGATACTGGGAATTACTTGACAAAATCACCAGGTTACTAGATCCTAAAACTGCTGCAGTGTCCCTGGATGTCCCTTCAAAGCTGATATTTAGTTTGGGACGAAATATCTTTAGTCCTACATCTTTCCAGCTAATTCTTGTAAATATCTACCCACTCGGTAATTAAACTCATTTACCCTAATAATCTTTCTAGTACTATTTAAATGATCTTAATTCTTGTCTCTTACTTATTCCATGTGCCAAATAAAATTGCATTTCAGACCATTGCTATTTTGGTCACAATCCCCACCTCAGACAATTTTTCCAACTTGAAAAAGTTGGAAATATTTCAAGGATTTATCTTTACAGTTTTCTGTTCCCTTCTAATTTTGCTTATACACTGGTATTTATCTGTTAAGATATAAAGACTCTGACAAACATAATCAATTACATAAATATTGAACACAGGAAAGTCTTTTATTAATCAGTACTATAAGTATATGTTCAATTATTTTTTTCTGTCATTGTCACTTTTTTTTCATTTTTTATAATTTTATTTATTGAATCACCATGAGAGCAGTTACAAAGTTGTCGGGTTTAAGTCTCGGTCACACAATGAAATACCCGTACCTTCACCAGTGCCCATTCACCACCAAAAACCACAGTATACCCCCATCCTGTACCCTCCCCCTACCTGTGGGGAAGATGATTTCCACATTACTCTCTCTCTAATTTGATTACATTCAATATTTTGACACCAGACCCACCATTATTATTTGGGATTTTACTCCAACACTCAGATCTGCTGAAAAGGCAACAGTAGACAATTTGTTTTCTGTTGTTGCTTATGAATAACATATGATGTCGCGTGGCTGCAGTAGTGGCCGCGTTTTGAAATTCCGAAATTTTAACAATTAAAACTGGAGGGATTTCTGCCAAAACCTGATGGGTTCCGAGGTTTGTTCCTGAGTCTCTGGGATCATGGCCGTTAAGCAGCTTGATTAGGAGCCAGAAAGGCCATTCATGGGCGACTTGGGGTATCATTGGGATGGGGAGGAAAGGGCCGGCTCCACCCCTATCCCGTGAGGCCTCGAGTGTCTTGTCACTGCAGGCCCAAACCTGACTGTCCAATGGCCTCTGGCGATGGCGGCCACCGAGCCGTCAAAGGGGACAGCACTCTTCCGCCCCTGGGATGACCCAGCGACAGTAACCTACTGCGGGATATGGACACATTTCTGCCAAAAGCCACTGGTTTTCGAGATTTGTTTCTGAGTCTCTGGGATCATGGCCATTAAGCAGCTTGATCAGGAGCCAAAGAGGCTGTTCTTGGGCAACAACTTGGGGTCTCATGGTGGGGAGAAAAGGGCCGGCTCCACACCCATCTTGTGAGGCCCTGCGTGTCTCATCACTGAGGTCCCAAACCTGACTGTCCAGTGGCCTCTGGAGGATGATGGCCACTGGGCTGCAAGGGGGAACAGGCCAAGGCACGAAACCTATTCCCACCTGGGGTGGCCCGGTGCTGGTAACCTACTTGCAGGAACCGGACGCATTTCTGCCAAAAGCTGTTGGGTTTCAAGATTTGTTTCTGAGTCTCTGGGATCATGGCCGTTAAGCAGTTCAATCAGGAATCAGAGAGGCCATGCCTCCAATTATATAGCTGAGCTGGAGGTGGTTTGTGGGTGTGTCTTCCACATACCTAACTTTTGGCCATTTACTTTCTTGGTAAACTTTGCCCCAAGTTTTTGGGGTCTGGTCAAAGGCACAGCAGCAATTTTGGGGTGTCTGGAAGTCTATAGGCACCATCAGGCTGCTGATGCACTCACCTCACAGGTACAGATTGACCTGCTGGCGGCACCTTGCCCCCTTATGTTCAGTTATTTGATGTAAAAAAAAAACTATTATAGGAGCCAGAAATAGTTGGCTATCTCTGAGTACTGGTGCTATGTTACATGCAGCTGCATAGATTGTTCAATGAATGATTATGTGGCTTAGTAAAGAGGGATGCCAAAAAGATAAGTCATTCTTGGCAGGGCTTAGAGGACTAAATGGGATGCCAAGACTTGAACCTGGGTCGGCTACGTGCGAAGACAAACATCCTAGCCCTAATAATTTCCCTTTTTATAATTATGAGTTGGCTAAGTGAAAAATAATGTGAAAGTAATGTAATGTGATTAGGTCTTTTTTTTTTTTTAAGTCTACAGGTAAACTTCAACATTGTAAAAGATATTTGTTAGTGGGTTTGGGGAGCTGGTTTAGTGGTCAGGAGGGCATGTTATGCATGTAGGAATCCTGTATTCTAGTTTCAGGATCAACCTATCCCACCACACCACTCCCCCTGATTCCATCTGCCCCCAAAAAATGTTTGTACAGCTAGAAAGATCAATACAGATGTAAGAAGTTTGCCTTGTATGTGGCCAGCCCAAGAGAAACCCCCATCATTTCATGGTCCAACAAACTGCCAAATGTGTCCTAAAATGTCTGCTGGTACCCAAAAGGGTAATCAACAGGCTTGAGCATTTGCTCAGCAAGTGAGAGACCCAGGTTCAATTCCTGGAACCAATGGTTTCCTAAGCAGTGAGCCAAGAAAAGGTCCTGAATATCCCTAGATGTGGCCTAAAAAAGAAAGAAATGATGGAATGAGGAATTTTCTCAAGGTTGTCTGCTAGATAAACAGCAATTTAGGGGTGAGGGATATAGTACAGGGATTAAGGCCATAACTTACATATAACAGAAGTTGATCCAGTTTTCCTCCTTCCTTCCTTCCTTCCTTCCTTCCTTCCTTCCTTCCTTCCTTCCTTCCTTCCTTCCTTCATTGAATCACTGTGGGAAGTTACAAAGCTTTCAGGTTTAAGTCTCGGTCATGCAATGATCAAACACCTTTCCCTTCACCAGTATTGTTGATCCAGTTTCAAGCATCCAACTATCACCACTTGAGGCCCTGATAGCTCCCAGCACTGGGAGGACAGGCTTCCGAGCATTGCCAGAAGCCCCCTGACGCTTGAATACTATTTGGGAACCCTTATCCTCATCCCAAATTTAGAGGTTCATTGGGCTTAGCCCAGTTGTATTCCAGATCAACCTTGCTGGGGTTAATGTCTCCTTGAGGCTTAATTTTGACTGTTGCTATTATTTGGGAGCTCAACTTGGGCTGTAAAATGAATCACTTATTCTTTAGATGTGGCTTTTTTGTCTTTTCCATAGTATCTCGACATGACAACTAGGTTTGGAGGAGATAAAAGCAGATTTTTTTTTTTGGTTTGTTTTTGGGCCATACCAGCACTGCTCACAGATCACTCCCAGCAGGCTTGGCGGACCATATGGGATGTCAGGGATTGGAGCCAAGCCCGCCCTGTGCAAAGCAAGTGCAGTACCTGCTGTACTATTGCTCTAGTTCCTAGATGAAAGTAGGTTTTAAAAATGTTTGTGTATTCATGGGTCAAAGCCAGTTAAAGGGCAATTAACAGACCCTTCAAGAGGAGCGTAGAGAGGTATAACTAATAACACCATTTCATGAGAGGGAAGACAAAAAATTTGATACTCTTTAAATTATGTAAATATTATGTTTACATAATTACAAGTATGGGCTGGAGCGATAGCTTAGCGGGTAGGGTGTTTGCCTTGCACGCAGCCAACATGGCCAACCCGAGTTCTATCCCTCCGCCCGTCTCGGAGAGCCCAGCAAGCTTCCAAGAGTATCTCACCCACATGGCAAAGCCTGGCAAGCTACCCATGACGTATTCGATATGCCAAACACAGTAACAAATCTC